ATGACAACAGTTGGAGAACTATGATGTATTTTGGTTCATCATGGTGCAGATTTTTTTTAACATTAGCTTAAAAACAGATCACCACTTACTTAGATTAAGTTTTTTTTAAACAGTGGTGAATAACATTATTTTAAATAAACAATGCATTCTTTTCAGGTCCAAGAACTTCCCCAAATTTGACACTGTCCCATGATGAGGTGTAATCTCCTTTACATTTGCTATATTTAGTAGCAGGAATGATTTTGTCTACAAACATTACTGTAAAACAAAAACAGCAGATGTTTATCATGTGCCTGTGCCACCAGCGCTCATGCACAGGCCCTGTCTGTCTTGGCTGAGCCACCGTGAGAGGAACAGGCACCATGGAGTCTCTCACTGTATGACTTTCCCTCCAGGATTTGCAGGGACCACCTTCTCAACCATGCAGTAAGTCAAAACAGGAATTATGCATCTGTTAGTGTCTTCATTTGTATTAATCTCTGTTAGTTGATAAGAATGAACGTATAACTGAAAGAAAGTGAATGCTAGAATTTCAGGGACTGCATCTTTTTTCACAGCCTTATACCTATCCACGTATATGGTTTTTTTCAGTTGTAACTTCATTTGTAAATTGAATCTGGTAGTTTCCTCAGATGTTTTCAAAAGTCTGCATTCTGATCTATCACAAGGAACAGCTTCAAAAGCTGTGTATCATTTTGATTTTTTTCTGTATCTTGGGGAAGCCTGAATTACCAATTAGAAAAAGTGAACTTCAGCAAAAATCCTCCAGCAGATACCAGTTGCTTTGCATCATATAGCTCAGAGAAAGAAATCTTACTGTATTCTTTAAGTTGGGAGTAGAATAGGGTTCATATGCACTTGACATTAATAATTCTTAAAAGAATTTTAAGGAGGCAAAAAGCTGGATTTCAGACATAAAATTTGACAGTAGAGGTTTAAATAAGACTGGACTGGCAAGAATGATGCCTTTCATCCTTTCACCCACTTACTCCCTTTACCATTTAAGATTTCAGCTGATTGATCTGGTATTTTTTGTCACAACTTCATGAGGTAATGTTTTTCTCAAACAGCTCTCCACTGAGTTTCAGATTGTTTTCTGACTGCCAGCATTAAAAGCATGTTCTGCCATTTTAGTATCCAACGTGTGTGATTACAGTAGGGCAAATCATTAGCCTGTTTTTCCACTTGGTATCTCTGGCTGTGGAAATGAAATTATCATAGAATCATCAAGATTGGAAGGGACCTAAAAACTTATCCAGTCCAACCATCCACAACCACTGTCACCACTAAACTACATCACCCAGTGCCAGGTCCAGATGCCTGTTGAACACCTTCAGGGATGGTGACTCCAGCACCTCCTTGGGCAACCTGTTACAATGCTTGACCACCCTAACAGTGAAATTTTTTTTCTAATATCAGAATCTTGCCTGTCTCAGCTTAAGGTCATTTCGTCTTGTCCTCTCATACTGATACATTTGAAGAGATGGTGCGTCCTTGTCTAGATTAGTTGATCAAAGGCCTTTTAAGTCTAGATCTTTGCAGTTTTGCACTGTCTTCTACTTCATTCAGCTGGACATTTCATTAATGATAAGAATGGTGTTTCATCCTGTCAAAGCAGAATTTGAAATCAAAATGCTTGTGGTGATTTTGTAGTTGGTGAAAGCTTGGCAGGTTTTTTGTCCTTGTAGCTGAAAATGTTGTGTGTCTAATTGAACCCATAAACAGCAAGAGATTTGGGTTTCAGTTCTGACCTGTAATAAGCCTGTGCTATATATGGGTGTTTGTTATCCTAATTTGAATTAAGTCTTAATTGTTGTACAAAACAAGAAATGTTAGTGCATGCTGAGGCCAGTCATTCATTTTATCTGCAATGGTGTGATGGTTTTGTACCTTCATATATATGGAAACTATATTGCTGTGCTCTTTCCTCTATGCTCATTTGATGCATGAGAAGAGGTATTCATTAAATAAAGAGGGAATGCACTTCTGTCAGTAGAGTGGAATTACAGGCTGTCAGTTTTCTTGAGTACTGTTTCATCTGTTCGATGGGATTCCACAGTGCAGGCTTTTACAGACATTATCTGCAAAAAGAAATACTGCTCCTCACTTTTGAGAAAAGAAGCCATGAATTCATGGACCGTGACTGCAACAATAATGAGCCATAACAGCTCTCCCTTTCACACTGGCAACAGTGTAACAGATTTCATAAGCAGATATGTTATTGTAACTGTAGATACCCTCAGAAAAAGTCTATCATCAAATTGATGGTGTTCTACAGACAGCAAATCACATTACAGAATTATTTGCCTTGAATATTGAAATCCCAGTGCTCCAGGAAATTTGAGTTCAGCTTCATTACGAGGTGTTGTACTATGCGAACATTTGTACACATACACAATTTCTAGTTTCATACACAACATAAGACAAAAATAAACTCTAGCTAGAATTATCTCAGGAGGGTAGAAAGCTAACATTTCTCTCAGTTTCTTCAGCTTATTTGGCTCCTAGACCTACTGACCAGAGAGAATGAATAACAGTAGGAAACAAAGGTCAGTTAACGGTACACAAATCTGAAGTTATATTACCTCAAAGCCCAGACATTTGCTGCCTTGAATGTTGTTGTCAAATTGCTCCAGAGGTAAATAAATTCTGTCTATAGATATGAAAAAAAGTTATTTTTTAAGATAATCGTAACCCTACCAATGAAGCACTTTCTTAGTTTGGTACATTTCACACAACTTTTTTCTTTAGACCAAGGCTTATTATTATCTGATGCATCATGTTGAATTTGGTTAATCTTCGGCTAGGTGGTTTTCCTCTTGGTCTTTTTTCATCCATTGTGACATTGAAGAGCTCTTAAAAATCAGGGGGTTTTTGCAACCTTAGTTACCAGGAAGAGATTCCACTCCATTTGGCAAGTTAATACTCTGGGTGCCAGTCTTAACCACAAAGTTCTACCTTCAACAGAATTACACTTGCAATAGTGGAATTGGTTAGTGCTGCATTAGAAAACAGTAAGCCTATAGCCTCTTCTGTCTCCAATTTTTATACAACACAAATTAATGTTGAGACTCCATCTTAAAAATATTTTTCTAAAGTTTGCTTTGTTTCTGTTTAAAACAATCCTTATATTATTACAATCATCCCTGCAAAAGTAGAAAATTAATTTCCTAGACATTTCAGTCTGGAACACAAAATCCTTTCAAATGTCTTCATAGCATCTCCTTAGTAACCTCTCTGGTGTTTCACAGGGTCAAACTGTCTTCTTCCTAAGACTTCAAATTAATTGTGTAATAAATGTTAATCTTGTATCATATGGCTGAACTCAGACTGCATCAAATGTTTTAGAATGGATGCTCATTTGATATGTTGCATGTGAGGACTACCAGTATTCTTTTGAAGTAAAAGCTTAGCATATGTCTCCAGGCACAAAGCATTGCAAAATAGTATAGCAGTAGCTATTCTGCATGAGCTCCTTCACATAAACACATTTATTCTGTGTTATGAGAGCTATTTTTCTGCTTTTCTTAATCTACATCACTCTTAGCTTGACATAAGAGGGTTTACACAGAAAGCTGTTATGGAATATGTGTTATTTCCTCTGTGCATACCATCCTTTGCAGAGAAACACTGTAAGCAGTTTGTGAGGAAATTCAGAAGGCTGGATTTTAGCAATTGATTGAATGATTCATTACCATTATGAAATACCAGTATTATGGGTTACAGTGCCTGAATTTTATGGCAAGAAGAATGCTATTAGAATTCTCTCAAAAAATTTTTAAAAATTCCAATATTACCAATGGAATAAAACTAAAGAATGGGAAATTTTTTTCTAAAGGGTTAAGTGGCTGAGACTGTCTGAAATGAGGACTATTTTGAGAATTAATTTTTATTAGAGAATAATTACTTGAAACTAATTTCAAAACCACTGGCAATGAAAAGTTGTAGTTTCCAAATGTACAGCTTGGAGTCTATGGCATTCGAGGGGTGGGACCTCTTCCTAGCAGTGCAGATCCCAGTCTCTTTTTTGGCTGCTTGTTGGGAGGGATTTGCACCAGTTTCCTGTTTCTTCTGTAAGTACACTGAGACTGTGGAGGGATGGGGTGAGTATTCTATTATGAATCTCCTGTTTGTTCTGTCTGTATGTGTTTTGAGTGTCAGAAACCAGATTCTAATCCAAGTTCTTGTTGGCATCTGTTTATAACATAATGAAAAGCAACAGGAGAGATTAAAAGACCAAGCACCAAATGCACTCCAATGTGATGGTAAGGACACTTTGGAGAAAAAAAGTTGGGTTAATCACCTTGGGAAGAAGCAAGAATCAAAGCCTGTTTCATACATTCACAGCTACTACTCTAAAAATACCTGGATTTTGAAACATTTCGCAGCAGTACATATTGTAGCCATTTCTTTTGTTTCATGCTTTAGACCAGTTTTAAACAACATGTATTCTTCTGTTAGTATAATACATAAAATAACTATATACATACATATGTAATGCATATTTTACATATATACATATGTATCTAAATTATTAATTTTAACCCGAGATCTCCTGTGATATATTTTGGGGCTAAGTTTAAGACAGAGTAAATATTCAAAGCAGTTTCTTCGGAGTTTGCACGCCCCAACCTCTCCCTACTTCCCTGCGTACTTCGTCCTGTTCCCTCTTTACACGTGGAATTGGGAACTTCTGAGATCTGTTCAGCATTCAGCCAAATGACGTAGAAGTGCAGCAGGTACCACGTTCCTGACCCCGGGGTCTGATTTCGCGCCCGCACTTCTCTTCCGTGGGAAGGCGGGAGCTCGCACTCGTTGCCGGGCGCTATCCCAGGGGGCTGGGCCGGGCCCGGGGCGCCCCTTTGCTCCTCGCCTGTCCCATTTGCTGGAGCTTTCTGTCTCTTCTCGGGTGGGCGGCGTAGGCTCCCCCTTTCCCATCGGCCAGGATTGAGGTGCTCGCGTTCTGTCGCCCGCAGGCTCCTGGCAGTGTGGGACGCACCGGGGAAAGGCGGACGGCGGCGCCGGCGGCCCCGAGGCGGCCCGGGCGGGCGGAGCCGTGCCCGGCGCTAGGACCCAGCAGGACGCGAGGCGGCTCTTCGGGCCGGATCACAAATTCGTCGTGACTCAGTCTCTGCTCAGCGCGGAGGCAGCGGGAGCAGGTCAGTGTCCTGCGTCTATCCAGCGGCTGCTGGGGTGCGTGGGGGCACAAGAGCCAGAGCACTTCCCTTCCCTGGCTCGGCCTTCCTTCATCTCCGCCCGCCCCCGCCCGGGCCCTGCCGCGCCGCCAACCGCGGTCGCCTGTTGTCTGCTGTTTTCCAGACAGCCAAGATGGAGTACGAGTGGAAGCCCGACGAGCAGGGGCTCCAGCAGATCCTGCAACTGCTCAAGGAGTCCCAGTCCCCGGACACCACCACGCAGAGAGCCGTGCAACAAGTATCCTTGGCCGAGGCTGGCGGGGTCCCGGGAGTGGGCCGGGGGCGGCCGTGGGCAGGCGGGGGGAGCGTGGCCTGCGCGGCAGCGGGGCCGGCGCTGCGGCAGCCGGGCCTGCCCGGCTCGGCCCGGCCGGGGAGCCGCCGCAACGTGGGGGCCGAGCCCTGGCCGGAGCGGGCCGCCGTGGCGCGGCGTTTGAACCACCGAGGCGGCCTGTGGGCCGCGGGGCCGCCTTCACCCGGCGGGCACTGGGCACCTGTTGCTAACCCAGAGACAAGGGCCGCTTTGGGTTTGACCGTAGGGGGCCTTTTTTAAAATTAATTAATTTATTTATTTTCAAAGCCTGTGCTCTGGCGCGTCTCCGCCGATATCCGCCGCTCTTTCGGGCTCCCCCGCCCAGCCCCCAGGGCGGCCCGGCGGGAACGGGGCCCTCGGCCCAGCGGGTCCCGCCGAGAGGGCCGGGAGTGCCCCGCGGGGTGTGCCCGCTGTCTCCGCGGCAGAGAGGGGGCGAGCTGGGGCCTCTCGAGGTAATCTGGCGCCGGGATTCGAGGTGAAAGCCGTCGCTGATGGGGGTAGTGCCGCTGGCGGAGCCGCTGCCTGCGCGCCCTCGTGGGCCTGCTGCTTCTGACACTGCGCATTTTGGTGCGTGGTGAGGATGTTTTCATTTGTCTGGGAGCTTGATCCTGAAACTCGGCTCGTTCAAATTCACGAAAATGGGAAGCTCTGCAGTGTGTAGCTTCTTGTACTGCTTTGATTTGGTGTTGGTATTGTGGATTGATGGTTTTTTCACCCCCATCCCTCCTCTTCCCCTTCCCCCCGCGGCGCCCCCCCTCCCCTTCCCCAGTCACTTTTCATTGTAGAAGTAATGAATAGCACAGTTTTAAGGAGTAAGGATTGAGAAAGCAAAACTTTAAATTGAGACTGATAGAAGCATAGGCCTTAAAAAATAAAGGCCTCATCTATTGTTTTCTGTGCCTTGTTCTAGCCATAAGTGCTATGAAATTTATAGAAGTGCTGGAATTCTATGAGGAGTTTGTTATCTGGATCTCTTTTCATTTAAGGCATTTTCTTGAAGGTCTCCATAGAAGGCAACAGAATCTGTTTAAGTAGGTAAGAATGTATGTGTGTCTGCATACATTTATATTAAGAGTTTAGCTTTAAGCCAAATTTGCTCCACTTCTAGACATTTGTAGCAAATGCGGTGAATATCAGGAAGGCTTCTACACTGGTCTGAAAGGCGAAGGTAGAGTGCATCTTGATCATCTTATTTTTTCAGCTGTGTTCTAAATTCTTAAAATATGATTGCTTTCTTTGAAAAATCCTGAACAGAAGAGTCTAAAGAAGTCATCATCTGATAATGCCCCAAGCTTAAACTGGTGCTCTTTAGTATTTAACATATCAAAGTTTTTATAGGAACAGTGTTTATAATGTAGCTTTAGTGTAAAATTACTTTAAAGCTTTGCTTCAAATAATTTAATTACATCTTGTTTGTTTATTGAGCTATAGCATCATATATGCATGATGGCCAGTATAAGTGATGCTGTCTGTCTTGATGATGTGTAGAACTTGACTGAACAAAAGTCCTTTCAACTGATGTTTGAAATTCTTTTTAGGTGATAGTGAAAACTCCCTGCTGTGTCGATGTTGGCTAGTAAAGGTTAGAGGTAAAAGGTTTTGTGTGTGTTTGTAAAGGTTCCACAAACAAACAAAAGGAATTATGATGTCTGTTGTGTTCTAGGATGCTGTTTAATAGCATGTCCAAGCAGGGTTGTGTTTAATGGTTTCAGATTTGCAGTACTTAGTCCATAATTTTTTGTAGAAAAATCAAAAAACTTGTGTGTTTATTCTCCAATACTGTTTCTTTATGAAGCTGTTTTAGCACACTTGGGTGTTCAGTTGTCAAATACAATGAAGTGGGAAATATACATTAGCTAAAAAAACCCTTTGTTAGTAAAGTTATAAATTAGTATGGTTTCAGATATTTTTCAATTTAATTTATTGTATGTTTCATGTAATGAAAAAGGAAAAGGTAAGTGGGTGAAGAAGTTGCTAAGAAAATTGGTCTAAGAACTAGTCTTAATTTCTTAGACCAATTAAGTGTTTTCTCATTAAGTTGCTGTTAAATACTGCTCTTTTTGTGCTTTCTTCTCCTTGCTGGTATTTTTTAATCCATTTGACTACACAGTTGTTGGTAATGTTCAGCTGCCTGTTCTGGTGATGCAGCTTTACAGATATTTTTAAGGATCTGTTAATTTTTATGTCTGTCCATGGATTTTAGACTTACCCATAACTAAAAGCTATTGCTTCAATGAGAAAATTACAGAAACTGTTTTTAGGTTGTTCATGCTCTGTATGTCATGAGCTTATAGTCAGAGCTGATTGAAGTGATATAGCAGTACATAACAAATATAACAGTCTTTGTATCCAGAAATCTTTATGTAAAGATTCAACTTTCCTTAACAGTTTTTCTCTTCAGAAACTAGAACAACTCAATCAGTATCCAGATTTCAACAACTACCTGATTTTTGTTCTCACAAAGTTGAAGTCTGAAGGTAAGTTCGTGAGATATTTTTTATTTTACCTTTTTTAGCCTTTAAAAAGAAATGTATTATTTCGCTTCAAAGAAGTAGAAAGCTAGCTCTAGTCAGCTTCCTGGTTGGTTGAGCTGGCCATAGTCATGTAGAATTCACTTATGCACTCAGTGGTCTTTGTGGGGAAAAAGATCTGATAACTTGTTGATACTTGCAGTATCAGCCTTAGAATGGAATCCATTCTAAATGGCCTGTGAAATCTTCTGAGAATATTAGAACATCATACCTCTATTGGACTGCAGTAAAGTTGTGGAATATCTGTGAAGAATCATGGCTACATACATTCTAAAACATACTGCTAAGTTCAATTATGATAATTATCTCTGCAGTAACGAGACTGCTAAATACTGTGAAGACTACATATTTAGAGTTGTCCAAAGATGTCTGTCATAATCATCATTCTGAAGATTTAACTGTAGTAAAATACAGTTAGAAATCAATCATGTTGTTTTATTGCTATGGACGTTACAGTACAGACTGTATATGGCATAGTGTATAGCCTTTACTGGTTGGTAAATTCAGCCAATTACTTTGTGGTCAGAGTGTGTGAAAGATTGTCTTCTCTGTGGACTGCAGCTATTGTTTTGAGGTGTCCTTGATAAAGAAAGGAAAATTAGTTTCAAGATCTGCTTTAGCACATCTGTTTCTTTACATATGTTTGTAATTGTGTTTGGTTGTTCAGGTAGTTTTCTTGGTTTTTTCCTTTAGTGTTGTGCTACTAGTGCTTTTTCTGCCATTTGGTGTTTCATGTCTTTGTTTATGAATGCTTGCTTTTCCCCTTTGAATTAGATTTTACTTATGTGTGGCCCTGTAACATTCAAAGAATTGTCAAGAGTGTCTACATTTTAAGTACTGTTTTGGTTTCATCAGCTTGCTTCAGGAGGGAAGCAGAGAAGAGAATGAAAGTATATTTTACTGTTTCAAGGGTAGAGTATATCTAAATGCTTTTGTGTGTTCTGTGTAGGAAGTCACCTAATAATCTGTAAAATCTCTTCAGTCTGAGAGCGTTTTCAGGACTTGAGTCGGCCAGGATAGTGTATCTTTGAATAAGATGCCAGTTTAGGTACCATGTCCTTTATACCATTACCAGAAAAATTTAAAGCAAAGCAGTTCCAGTAGTGGGATGTGGAATCTGTACAAAGGATGTGACAAGGATGTTTCACTTTTTTTTTTTTTTTTTTGTCCATGAATTTGTTTTCTGACACTTCCTGATTTCACTTTCTTCATTCACCACTTGAGCCTGAGGTTCTAGATTGTCATAGATATTTGGTGTTTAGTGGTGTGTCAAGATCTACCTTCCTAACAGAGCTATTTTGGTTATTCAGTAGTCATCTTTTCCCTTCCTTATGTTCAATCACATTGTAGAATTTGATAAAGAGTAGGAGATGCTAGCTGTTCCAAAATGGTTGGGTAAAGCTGTTTTATCTGAGGGGAAAACAGCAGGTTGCGGCAGGTTGAGGGGCCAAGCAAGCTGGGAAGAAGTAGCAAGTTAACTTCCAAGGAGCAGTGTTTGGATAAGATTGCACTGATGTCTCTCACATACACATCAGGTATATTGTGAGACTGTTGAAGAACATCTGTTACTTTGGTGATGCTTTTGTCCTGCATCATGACATTTTTAGGGTCATAGTGCTTTTGTACAAAGCAACTATTTTTTACCTTTGTATCTCTGTTTCTGGAAATTTGCAAAATTTGAATGTACCATAACCAAGTCTGGTTGGTATTTTTCATAGTGTTTGCCAAATTCTAAATTCTAAATATTCAAATTCTGTTGCCTTGCTTAGGTAGGACTAATGAAGAATGGCAGGAGACTGTTGACTGGATTTGCTTTGAATCCAACCAACAACCCTTCATCTTCCCTCATGCTCAAGTAAGATAATGAGACTGTTAGAACTGCTGGTCAGCAGCTGCAATAGTTGGACAGACTCATCTCAGTAGATACCTGACTTCAGGATGACTGAGAAAGCATTCTGGTTTCTTCCCTCTTGAAGTGGATTCTGTTAGCTGTCTGTCTCCACAGCCTTGCCATAGACCAAAGCATGGATATTTGTACTGTTAGAAAGTTTATGCTTTTATTGTGTCCATACTATTCCAGCAGAAGGAGCAATGAAAATAGGCTTATATTTGACAGATTTTTCAATAAAAATGAAGGTGTTCTCATAGTCCACGAGAAAAGATCTTGGCTTGGTAGCAGATGGAACTGAGCTTTGATTCAGTTTTTGCTACTGTTGAAACTTCTGCTGAGAAAATGGTACTTAAGGATACATTTAGGTGACAGCTCCTGAATGTGGGAATTCTGTAATTTGCTTAGTTGAAATGTGTGTTAAATAGTATCATTCTACTGCAGTGAAGATTGCACCACTTTGTCTTTGACCTGAGTCTTACACCTCTGTGGACAATTAACTTTGCAAGAAAACTTCTACAACCCTTCATTTACAAAACTGGCTTTCATGGAGCCCTGCCTTTAAGATACTAAGGTAAACCTTATGTGTAGGAAATTTGCTTTGTTTTAGCACCGTTGCTGTTCAGTTGAAAAAAGCTGTTACCTTCTTTTCCTCTAGTCTTACTTCCATCAAGCTTCTGTTTCTGAATGCTTATGACTTACTGGTTTAAGACCTATTGTGATAATCCTACATGTAAATAGGGGTTTTCTTGGTTTTGTTTTTGAATTTTTCTGGGCCCTGTCCAAGCTTGTTAAGCTTGGGTCTTCCTGGAAGCAGGAATGCCCTGCTGCTATTTCATCAGTGAAAATACATGGCCTACTTTGCTTCTACAGCATGTAGCCCAAGGTTTAAGTACTTAATTTCTTTCTTCTTGTTTTTTTGTGTTTGGTTGATGGGGTTTTTTTTTTCTTGTTTGTTTTGGTTTTGTTTGTTGGTGGGAGTTTTGTTTGATTTTTTGTTTGTTTGGGGCTTTTTAGTTTTTGTTGAGGGTTTGTTTGTTTGTTTTGATTATTTTAAAATTAATGTGCATTTCTAAAGATAGAGTTGGGAATCTGAATGAAGCCCAGTGTTAAAAATATCACAATAAAAAACTTGTTAAGGAAACAGCATTCAGTTAGACAGTAGGCAGGCTGATAAAATAAGATCCAAAGCCATTAAAATTTAAGATAGAGATCTGTAGAGTGTATGTATGTATGTGTATGTATGTATAGATCTCTAGGGTGTATGTATCTGTAGATCTCTAGAGTGTATGCATCTATAGATCTCTTCCCATGTAGTATGGTGCTTAGAGATCTTCCTTAGGTAGATAGGATGGAGTCCGAATGAAAAAAGAGTTGTTTTGCTAATTTATCTGTAAATGAAGATATTACTTGTAGGCACTGTTAGTGTAGTTATTCCTTCTTGGAATGGAAGGTAAAAAAGATAACAGATAATGCAGTGACACTGCCCTGTCCTTGGTATTGGGTTTGTGGTTTTGTTCTTCTGCTGTCCCCTAAGATGAGCTCAGAATCCTCTAGTCTTCTATATTCTGTTAGTAATTTGTTTTCTGGAGTGTTGTGTGCATGTTGCTTCTACTTCTGAGATAATTTTCTGGTTTTTTGTGTGTTTGACTGAAACAGTCCAGTGCTACATGGAAGCATCAGTTCTGCTTGTTGCTTTTTTCATTAAACTGCAGCTTCCCTTCTTTGATCCAAGTCATGCATCTATATCCCCCTTTCTCTGTTTGCGTTATTGCATCCCTAGTCCAGGTATGTTTCTTTGAAGGAAAGTATGAAAGTGTATTTTTCTAATTTCAGCCTCTTTGCTGTCTTGCTGAGGCCCAATCTAGTCTCTGCCTAAGGTGTGTTGAGGCAGTTTGTCAAGATATGTGAAGCCTGAGGCAGGTCCGAACTTCTAGATGTCATAATTTGGACAATTCATACTGCAAGCAGAAGTACTGAGTTTGTTTCAGACCTTGTTGACTGCAATGATGAAATTTCCAAGGTTGCCTATATGAAAACTTGCTTTGTTTATGCCTTTTGTAAATCAAGGTTTGTAAGATATTTCTTTCTCCTTCTACTCTGAAATAGAAATAGCATTCTTCTTAATTTGCATTGTCCTGTTGTAGGACAACTACATCAATTTCCTGGTGTTTTCTGCTTAGTTTCAGTCCAGAATTACACCACACTTTTATTTTATTTTTATATCCTGAACTTTGTGAATGGGAGATGGATGTGGCTTGCACTAAACTATGAAAAGATGATGTCCATTGCTATTTAATGGGACATGTTTAGTTTTACATTATTTCTGTAAAGTTCTGCTTCACCCCCCTCCTTGTCTGCTGGGGTTTCAGCAGGTACTTACGCTAATGGGAAAATATAGAGAGAAATGCATAATGGTCTTGATACTTTCTGCTGGCTTGTAAAACTGCAGTTGTCTATTCTGTTGCAGTTACACAGCTGTGATCTTGTGAAGGTGTTTTAGTGACTGACTTTTCACCCCATCCAAACATGGGAACTCCACTATTTATTCTCCGCAGAGTGTTATCTGCATGGATTGATTGGTCATAGTGGTGTAAGGCTATTGCAGTCAAGGATCAGAGTCCTTAAAATGATCTTTTACTCTGAAGGTGAATGAGCTGAAACTGAGAACACTGCTTTAGTACTGTTTTTGTCACAGGCCTTAAGGATGGTCTTTTGAGCTTATTTCCAAAATACTTCAGATTTTTGTAAAGCAGTTGAAGATAGAAGAACATGGTCTCTGCAGTTCTTGGTCTTGTTCATATGATGATCTAGTCATTTAGAGTACTTTACTTTGATCTGGAACAATACCATGGAGACAGGTCCTGTCCCTTCTCTCTCCTCTCCCTCCCAAGTTTTTGTTTCAACAGAGCTTTTCACAGATAGTAATTTATGTTCTGGTAATCATGACACTAATAATTAATCTAGTTTTGCACATATAATTCAAAACAGCTTTTTATCAGGTATTACTGAAATGTAAAATGGTCATGTGGGTTTGATGTGAATGTTTTCTGATGAG